CACTCCACTCGCTGCAGCATCCCTCCTCTTGCAAACTACCTGCCAAGAATAATCTCTCGAGTTACCTCCGTAACGAGCTTTCGCCTGTTGTCTCCAGTTAGAATCCGCAAGGTAAGTACAGTCGAGAGCAAAACTTGATTAAATCTCATGAAAATCAAGAAGTGTCATGTGTGACAAGATGTAAGAAATAATTTAATTACATCTTTAATCGTGTTAAGCAAAGAGCGAAGTACAGTACCGAACAAAAGTTTTCCATGTTCCACTTAAACATTCAAGAATTACATAATCAGTTTACTTGTTCAATCTCAGCTTCCGTGTCCTTCGATTCTCCAGCATCCAGTTGGTCCAGGTACGATTTGATTCTTATAACCAGATCTATGTGGCCGCGTAACCATTTGGACCAAAGAATCGATTCGTCGCTAACTTTCTCAAGCCACACTGTCCACACCCTTAACTTTTCCGAAGGCACCGCCGCCAACTTTTCCATTGAGTTGAATAATTTTCTGCGAACAGGATTTATCAGTCGGACCATTGAAAATCAATTTCTACGAATGGACCATTTTTTTTTTGTTGGATCCAGATACGAAGGGGTGTCGGTAAATTATGTTTTTTCAATTCATGCCCATACGTATTTTATTTGGGATTAAAAAGATTTTTAGTATTGATAAGGATTTATTGAATTTGAAATTACTGCCGGGAATTCGACAGGTAGTCTTTTTGTAATCTGCATTTAAATATTCTTCGATCGTCGGGGTCAGCCGGTTAAGCCGATCACGGTCGATCGTCAACGTCAAGTACAGAGGCGTCCGTGTGGAAACCTGCTGGCCGACTATCCCACGGGAGAAATTCGCTGCTCTAAGTGTAAGTGGGATCCCGCTAATCGAATTCCCACCAGGGAAATCGAATTAGGCAGAAGCGCAATGGGCAAACATCGATCTCATGAAAACCAGCCTCAACGGGCGCAGTGGCAATTTTACTCAATTAAGGATTACGTTTATTAATTGATACCGCCGTTAATTATATCTATACGCGCTAAAATTACGATCAGTCTATTATATTACGTAATTATTAAAAAAAGAAAACAGCCAATCACAATACAAACGGATTTCCTGTTTTCACGCAGTCGCGAGTCTGCTTGCGTCATCCAACCTACACCTTGATCCAAAAATACCGATCGCTGATTCTATGATCTATTTTTACGATCGAGGATTCACGAACGATCGAAAAAGGGTCATTAGGCTCGTTTATACTGTCGCGATAAAAAAAAAAAAAAGAAAAAAAAACATGGCCGACAAGTACTAAGGAATATTTTGAAGAAATTTTATAACGTGGCCAAAAAAGAATATTATATAAAAAAAATTTACGATCGATCTAATTCGATATTGAGAAAAATAAGAAAATCAGACTATCGCGTCCGTGACGTCTGTCGGGATATATATATTTTTTCTTTTTTTCAAAATTTACGTATCCACGATTTACTTTTACGAATGACGCAAAGCAACCTAGAGGTTATAAAGGAACGTTTGCGCAATGAGCTTAAATATCTTACTGGTTTGGCTGAACTAGACGAATTCCCAATTCCTCGTCAGATTTCGTAAGTATTATTTTACTGGGAAACTGCGTCAGATCGTTGATCAAGGATTCCCTTCTGTCCTTTGAAGATCTCTTGTCCTCTTTATGTCCTTTTTCATCAACCTGTTTGAATATACGTTTCATGTAGGTAGACAGAAAGATTCGTTATACTTGAATTATATACACGTGTTAAGTGACGTATGACGTGACGGCTCTGTCGGTTCAATCGAGAGCCTTCAAAGTTTCCTTATTCCCAATATTTTCAGCTGCATCGAAGAAACAGACACGAAAAATCCTGTGTGCGCGTAGCTCATATTTCTGACAGTATATTTTTAGGAGGCCTCGATACTCTCGATAACACTTTGCACTTTATTTCGAGAATTTAACGAAACGATTATTTTCAGATTTCATGCCGAATGCAGTACAGGAGGAAAGAGACATAAGAACATAGAGTTTTGAAATTTTGAATTTTTTCTTCAAAACCGAATTATCATATCGATCTACAGTATAGCGGACTTTTAACCCGAGAACGAGGAGTGTGCGCGACACGAAAGAATTTGAAAAATTCAGGTTCCAAAAATTCGAATACACCGGTCGCACGAAATAAACGTATCACAGGATAGAATTTGCTATAAATAATCCAAGTGCTTCAGTTAAAATAGCCGGCAGGGTTGCAACGTAGGAATTTCATTGGGCAGACCACTGAATCATCGCTCTAATTGGTGAATTAATTGTCAAAAATATTTGAAAAAAAAACTCGTTGAATAATAAAATGAGATTTTGAAAATTTTGAAAATTTCAATATCTCAATTTTTCCGAAAATTATCTTCATTCATAATTCAGCCGTGATACCTCCAGTACTCGAGCACTTGGCCACTCGGCTGATTCGCTAGTCCGAATAGTTCATTATTATGAATCAAAAGTTCTATACATACATGTGGCACGTGACCATTCCCATTGTGAAGTGTCCGAGCCATCGTGAATTCTCAAGAGAAAACGGATGTCTGAGTTAACTACGGGGATGAGAGCCACATCCGGGAACACGGGACGTTACTCGAGGAACGAAGCTGAGCTTTTCGGTACATTGTAGACTCATCGTACAATAGATACGCGCAAGAGGAATTATTTCGAAAAGTTATGTCAAACTACTAGACAAGCGAAATACCACGAGATTAATATTTACAGATGCGAAATATTGGGTGAATTTGGTTGAACCCAAATCGCAGCCACTGGACCACTCGAACGAAAGCGAAAAAAAGAAGGGAAAGAAATTCTTCGAATTCTATTCCTAGAACCGCCAAGAGATTTCAAGGTCGACATTGAGGAATTTCGAAATCTGTGTTTAACGGGAGATTCGCTAGTGGAAACTAGGTGGGTGAAATGTGGTATGGTCGGTGGAGGGGGCGCAGGAGGGGAGGGGAACCGAAGCATAACGACGTGTAAGCTCGCAAGCTTCGGAAGGAATTGGCGAGATGGAGCTTAGGGCGTTAGTGGCTCGAACGACGATTAGATACTAGGAGAGGCACAGAGTAGTGGCAAAGTAATAGAAGAGGAAGAAGAAGAAGACGAAGAGACTTAGAAGTGGCTGGCCAGAAATAACTAATAAGACATTCACTCTGAATCGGGCGGCCATCCGGCCCGGACGAACGCGGTGCGTCCCTCAGACTTGAAGGAAAAAAAAAAAAAAAACAGAACCATAAAAAATCATACCTCGATCTCATATCTCATTATGTACTAAAATCGAACAACCGTCGAATTCAACCTGCAAAACACCAAAAACAAATCCTATGGTTTGTGTCTCTAACAAAGTGCTAATACGAATCTACGAGGGAGCCTGGTATCACGTTGGGAAAGAATGTTCGAGTCGAGCATACGGGAAGACTTTTTGTATTGGACGTGTTAATTTTTGTTTCTATTGAGAAAATTCACGTGTCGACGTGAACGCGAGAAGACCAGTGAAAGTGCACAGTATATTATGGATATCGTGGGAATGTAGATTTTTCGAAAAAATTTTATTAACCTTCAGATTCGTTCGCGGCTCGAGTCATTTTTTTTTAAATTTATTCGCTGTACTTTTTTCTTTTTCATTCTTAATTGCAATACTCGTCGGGATCATTTTGTTCGCTGAAAATACGTTGTCCGTGTTCTATCGTGCGATTGGGCTAATTTTAAGTGTTAGATAATACTACGGATCCGGCGGGTTTGCTTCGATACTAAAACGGTCCCTGGTTCGTTGACGGAGCCTTGTGCCGGGTGCCGAGTGCTACGAAATCTGTGATGGTGATGGTGAACTGCTGTGCCAGCAGCTCCGCCTGCCCCTCTTCGTTTCTCCATGTCCCCGGACCACGAGTTCACGTCTTACGCGACTGCGTGTTCTAATATGGCCACTCGGTGTCCAATTACTTCACTCTTCCCGCTCGGATTATTCGCTTCGCTCTTGTTAATCCTCGTTTGGTTACTTTATTTTGGATTTTGAATCTATGCATTTTTTTTCTCACCGCTTCCATTTTGCGACGCGTCACGACTTCTCTTTGGTTAACGATGAGTTATTGTGGACGAGGCAGAAAAGGGGGGAGGAGCGGAATAGCACAAATTCCTTGGCTAATACGAATCTCATATTATCCATTAGCATGTGGAAGAAAGTAACCACCTTGATCTTAAACCCCAATTCACAAACCCTCGATCAGACTCACTTTTACTGCCCTTCGGGAATTTTCCTCATGCGCAAACACAACCGATCAGAATTTATGGAATTTAAGATCTTTCGAATTCTCCAATGTGATCATTTACATTGAGAAATCGCTTTTGTCGATCAGACAACGCCTTTATAACTATTGTCTGGATATATTTTAAATTTACCTATTCTCCAGGAGATTTGTTGTTGCCTGGATTTTGAATTTTGAGATTTTTCAAAAAATTATCATGAATCTACTATAGCGCGAAGCACCAAGTAATGATAGCATATTTGATAGCATATTTGATAAACTCCAAAATTCCGTTTAATCTGGTTGATAGTGTATGCAATGTACGTAATGACGGGTAATTAATAGAAAAAATAATGAAGGTGAAGTGTTAAGTTTACTAAAAGTGGTGAATTTATTTTAGCTGAAAGCAGCGCCGGATTTTGGTGGTGACAAAGTGCAAGAACATCGGGGCCCTATAGAGAGGGCCCCCAACGAGGAGAGTCCGCCGTAAGGCGGGTTAAAGAGAGGAGGTATGTCAGAACTCGATGGATTTTTTTATCGGAATATTTTTATCGGCATCGATTGTCAATAAAAAAGTTATTTTTACGTATTAGTCGAGCAAACGATACCCAACTAAAGATATCCAGTAACAACGCATCATAAATTCGAGATTATCATGGATGCTGTAAGATCATTCGAGCCTAACTGCAATTTCCTTCCTCTATACTGACTTTGAGCTTTTCCAAGAAAGAAAAAAAAAGAAAAAAAATTAAAATGACAGCCGAAAATACATCAGAAATAAATAATTGGTCTCAAATTCTTTCGACGCTCTTCAAATGTCCCCGTAACAGCTGCAAATTTTGACTTGACTTCACATTTTCATTATCTCTTTATTCGTAAAAATAAAGCAGTCAAAGTATATCACAAATCCCCCCTATGGGATAAGAGAAGAAGAAATTAATCGGCCGTGAAGAGCAAAGCGATTCGTCGAATGGATTATTAAAAATGATCATTCTGAGATTAATGCGAGGTAAATGGTCGATGCCGGGGATGACATTATCTCCTGTCCATTTCAGTTCTCTAATGTCCTTCGCTTTCAATCAGATAAAAAAAAGGCACTTTGGCTTTCGACGGATATAAATGGAATATAAGTTTGTCTGGTTGGCACTCGGAACAAATAACCACAGCAAGAGAAACTAATTACGCGCTCGTTTCCAGACCCTCCGTTTTACATGCCGTATATTTTCATTCTCCCTCTCTCTTTTTCTACGTTCAACTTACATATATTTCACTGAGCACATTTTTTTACCGTCCAACACCAAAGCCACGAGTTTTCTTTGATATTACTTTCAGACGTGTCAGCCAGGACATAACCTTTTGACATGTTTCTTTTTACTTTCTCGCACTTTTTCAAGTTCTTTAACGAACTATTTGTTACGGCACTTTGTGCTATATATATGTATCATTGCCCGTTACGTTATTCCTTCCCACGATAGTCTAAACCCTTAAACTCACCTGTGTAAACATAGACAGCTTATCTTAAGAGGTTACAAAAAAGCTATTGGTTAAAGTGTGCTTTTACCCAACGGTTTCTTTTAAGATCTACGCCAAAAAGGAATTTCTTTGATTCTCGATTACGTCGAGGAACAAATTATTGGAGCAGCAAACGTTCAGGAACGCGTAAGGGGATAAAGGGAGAAAATGAAGCCAGGGTCGAATAGAAAAACTGCTAAAAGTCAGTAAAACCGATAGCAGCTTTGTAAAAGCAATACGCGCGTGCCATCTCTTGCGAGCGACGTCACTTAACATTTTCAGAGTGTTCCCTCGGCCATGAGCCTTTGATGGTAACAAATCTCGGAAACATTTTTACCGACATCCAAGCTTCGAAACTTCACCGGTAAAGCGCCGTCGGGCAGAATTATACGCGGCAACGCAAGTCGATCGGGTCACTTCGCTCGAAAGCTTTTGACATCGGCCACGCATTTTCTCTGGCAGCTTTCCCTGCACTCTTTAGATCCCGCTCTGGAGATCTCGCGGAAGCTGAAACGTCCCTCGTGAAACGACGTGTAACCGTAGGCGGCAGCACCCGACGCCGTCGTGACGCTATTCTAAGAGTGCGGCAATGTTGAAAATAAGCGCCGCTGGAAATTGAAGGTGCCGGCTAAGTATAGCCGAAAGCTCATAGCGCTGGCCAGCGTAGCGCCAAGTATATCAGTATCTGATTTTGACCCGTGGTGAATATCGATATTCCAATCTGGAGCGCATGGTTTATACATTTGGCAAAAGAAAAAAGGAAGCTGCAAAGACCAGACAGGAATAATCGGAAAGCATTAGATAAATCATCAAGCCGTGAGTGCAGGTGTATTTTATTGAAGAAAATATCGGAAAGCTTTTTTTCTCTTAAGGATATATATAAAAAAAAAGAAGTGCAAGCACGATTGTTCCGTCGTGCGTCAAAGTGTGTCATTAAATTTTTCAAAGTATCGCATCCACGTGGCTTTAATGCTCCTCATCGCTTGGGAACGTGTGCAAAAGTTTAGCTTGAATCGTCGCCCACAAATTTTCCGTCTCGACGTAGACAAAGGAAAAGCTGAATCATCTGACGGCTCGAATCACGCTCGTTTTCCACATCGATTCCTCTGTTTCCTCGCACTACGTACCTTAATGGACTGTGCTATTAATGAGAGCACGTGTATCAACCCTGCACTTCTGTCCGTAGGACGTTTTATTAATTGAGTGCATTTGTTATTCACGTTCGGCTTAACATTTTCATCGGCGGATTCGTTTTGGCGACAGGAGCTCGGGTGCCAAGGAACTCGGCGATTAACATTTACTGCATGAGTCAATAGCGCGAGTGAAAATAAGCTGCGGTGTCAAACAACGCAATGAGTTATAATTGTCCTCTTTGTTAACTTTTGTCTTTGCAAGCTCACGGCATGACTAGGCACATACGAATATTGTCTATATTCCAAAAGACTATGCGCTATATATAACAATTTCATATACACTAGCAACGATTCCGTATAAATAAACGTGGGGAATGCCTGTGAAACGTAATACGTGTTCTCAAAAGTTCCTAGACAGCTGATAAGTACAGTCTCGGTTAAAAAGCAATGTCAACTGACAAAATATGTGATATTAAGATTTTTGAAAGCCAGTGAAAAAAGGGCTAAAGCTCAGTGCTAATTACTTTCTGTTGGAATTACGAAATTGTGAAAGGAACAAATAAGAGAACCTGTTACCATTGTAAAATCAACAAGTGGCTCGTACAACGTACAAAGATAGATTCTAATAGGAGCCTATTCTGAGTCGGCAGGAAATAAAAAAGATTCGTGGCTCGATACGTCCGCCGTCGAGACGCCCTGACGTCAAAGCTATAGTAAAGTATATCCTACATTGCGAAAGCGTCGTAAGTTTAAACGCGGATCTCGAATAGACCGACGACGTCGTTCGCAGCGACGCCTCCACGTCGTCGGCGTCAGGACGTATGATCTCGCGAGAGCCGGATGCCTCGCGAGGTCAGACCTTAAATAAGTCTACACGTACGTGGGAAACACACGTAGCAGATCTTGTATGTTGCCGAGGACGCTTCTGAAGCTCCGAGTAAAAGCTCAGAAAATTCTTTTGAGAAACGCAATCGACTAACGTACATATTTTTGACATGTGTTATTGACAATTTTTAATGTTTCTTTCTTTCATTGATACTTGTCCATAGGATATGGAGCAGTTCGAGCAACTGCTGACCTGTGCGATCTGCTTGGATCGCTATCGAAATCCAAAGCTCCTGCCATGTCAGCACAGCTTTTGCATGGAGCCGTGCATGGACGGCCTGGTCGACTACGTACGTCGTCAGGTCAAGTGTCCGGAATGCCGTGCAGAACATCGTATACCCTATCAGGTTGGTTATCATTTTTATAGATGACGAGATTGGGCTTCATTGAAAGACCATGCAGAGGGATGGTATCTTGGGGGATGATTTTTGTTTTATTTTCAACGTTCTTTCATAGGGTGTCCAGGCATTTCCAACGAATGTGACGCTACAACGATTTTTGGAATTGCACATCGAGATCACCGGGGAATTGCCCGATCCTACCAGCGGTCAAACTATGGAAAGATGTGGCGTCTGTTCTGAGAAAAGTTATTGCTCTCTGTGCGTGCATTGCGACAAGAAATGCTGCCCCGAGTGCAAGGATGCACATATGGATATCCTGAGGCGGGAGATAACGCGTATCAATTCACAGGTATTTTTAAAAATCTTTAACGGACACCGTTGCGAGTCGATCGGTACGAAGATTTAGAGGATTGAACGTGCGAGAAGTACGAGCGTCTATGATTAATTTGAATTTCATGGGAATTCGTAGGATTCGAGTTATTGAAATTTTGGACAGTCCATAGAAAAATTTTACCTTGCTCGTATCTCCACGCTGAACATTTCTTTCATATTTGCCTGCAATGTTTCCCGGTGGATCATAATTGCAGACAACGTAGACGTGGCCATTCTTTCCAAATTTCACACCCACGCCCATTTCCTTGGTTTCCTTCCAGACAATCTGAGTGAAATGGCCCACGTCTTGGGTATTCGTCGGACTTTCTTCTCCGAATGTATATTTCTCTTTTTCCGTATACCTAACGTACGTCAAAGAGTAGATTAAAGTTAAATATGTAAAGAAAAATGTAATTTTCCGTTACTATTCCAAAATTATGTTTCTAACCATGATTCAACGGGATCCGACGGCTTCACTTTCCATTCCTTATCATCGCTATAATTTGTATATAAATTTTCACCATATTGGCTAGACTCTCTGTGCTCGATGACTTCTCTAGAAGCCAGATCATTCGCCCACTCTTGCGCGTAATCGGACAGCTGTACGAAAACATATTTTCGAATTTGAAAAATAGAAAAAACTTGCATTCCTCGTGAATCCTACCGTTTTATTGAGCGTCAGTGGGGACGAGCCATGAAAAGCCCGATATTTATTATGAGATTCCAAACATCTTTGAGCAAATTCAGATTCGGGTACGCTTTTAAAGGAGAGAAAGGATTTAAAGAAAAATCTACATTAAAATATTTCATCGAATCGACTCACCTGAACATGATAAAAATTTATAATCGACCGAACGGCTTGGAGAAAGTAGTTAATTTTCTTTTAGGTTACAAATTTTCCAATGACAAAACAATACCACTACGCTCAACAGCATGAGGCTGGCAGTAGGATACGTGGTACAAATAAAAGATTACTGTACTTTTGCTTCCTTGAACGTTCTCAGGTACGAAGGGGTCTACATCGTCTACAGGATGCTCTGGCTCTAGTAGAAAAAAACACCCTGGGCCTTCAGACCAACTGTGCATCTGTATCGGAAGAGGTAGACGAGATCTATAGAAGACTCAGTAAGGCCCTGAAGGACAGGACCGAGTATCTCCGGAACGAGGTCGACCGGTACCTGGGAACGGAATTGAGGGGCCTGATCCAGTTGAAAGAAAACTTGGAACTGGAAATTGCAAATATCCAAAGCAATTGTGATCTAGCCGAGGCGCACATTAACGAGAATGTATCCTGGGACGATGCGGAACTTCTTGACACAAAGGAACTCTTTCTACGTACCGTGGAGTTCATTAGGTAACACGAGAAAACTCATTGTTGCTAATACGAATCTCTGACGATCAAATTTAACCGAATATATTTTTCCCAGGAATTTCGAGTACGAAGCTGGAGACTACAACCGTCGGGTACGTTTCGTAATGGCACACGATCCAAACCAGTTGGTACTTCACGTAGCAGGATACGGAGAACTCAATATAAAACCGGAAACTGGAACCGGAGGTCTGCTGGGCAGCACGGGAGGTCTTGCTCCTCCAGGAGGTCCACCGGCGCTCATGAGGAGCAAGAGCGACCATCGTCTTGCGTCTCAGTATCGTCAACAAGAAGAGGAACGTCTGGCGAGGAACCGATACGTGCCCGATTACGAGTAATCATGAAAACTTTTATAAATTAAAATTGGAAATATGATCGTGGAAAATCCTTCGCACGTAAAATTCAAGAGAAAACCGTGAAAATGGATATAAGTGGCCTATAAAAAGGTTTCGATCGCCGTCAGAGATTGTGTTGGATTGCGGCCAGAACGCTGGTCGAGAAGGCACAGGTTTTTCAGAATGACCCACATATCTATTTTAGCGTACGTTATAAATACGAGACGGTAGTTTTTCCCTACTTTTCAAATTTTTTTTTTCTCCTACCACCCCCTGCCCACAAAACAACAATTCACCGGATACCGTTGACTAACTTATATTGTCTCATGTGTCGCTCGTTTGTTCGTTCGTTGATGCAGTTCTTTATTTTTGACCTTAACGATATGTAAAAATATATTGATTTCACGTTATTCCAAGGTACGACGCACCAGAGTATGACGCGCCAAGGAACAAGTCGAAATATCGAAGCCGATTCATGCGGCATCGAGACGGCGAAGATTCCGACGGCGATTCTAGGTCCACGGTGCGATTCACCTCGACGGCCCAGGAACAGGCAGCTCTTCGGGAACGAGTGCTGGACACTGAGGATGCTGCGCGTGGACCACTCTCGGGAATATTCCGTTTGACGGATTCGCCAAGGGTCATGAAAAAGTTGCAGGAATGCGAAAGGGCTGGAAAGCGAAAGAAGGAGGAACCAGCACAGCCCCAACAGCCGCAGCCCCCAAAACCGCAGGTACAAAATTACGTAATCCTTTTTCTTTTTTCAAATTATGAACAAATCATAAATACATAAGCCAGTCTTGTTTTTTTTTTGTTTGTTTTATGTTAAATGAAAAACACTTGGATCCTGTCACACATTATCATTCATAGGACACAGAGTCTCGCGATTAGGTCTACACTGATAAGAACATTAAGGATGATCTCGGTGGATCACGATGAGTCTCGGCAGATGATATTAAGAGGAAAAGATAAAGAAGTATAAAAATAGTTAAATATACGTGTGTTTCTCAATCGAGTGAAATTGATTTTGGACGGAGATATATATATATATATATATATACATATATAAAAAGAGGATAAATTTATGTTGTTGACAGTGAAAAACGGAAGTGTATAGGAGGCGATAGGGAACCGGGCAGTTCCGTGAAGGCCAGCTAGACTCGATCCACGCAACGAAAAATAAGTTCGAAACGATACTGCTTGAATCTAATACACCGGATGACGAATCTGAAGTTCTAATAAAATGAATTCCTATTCTAAAAAAGAAAGACACGACTGCTCGTTCTATTAATCAATCCTATGGAGAGTTTTGGCTGTGCGGCTTCTTAGCTCGGCTCTGACAAAAAGTTTTAAGGCAAATTAATATAATTCGCCAATATTTCGCTCTTTGTTGTTTATGCCACGTGATTTCCGAGCATGGACGCCTGAGTGTAGCCTCGTTAGACTAATCGGCAGGATTGTTTTGTGGTATTGAGATAGTATCCTATACACGATTACACGTTACACGTTTTTATGTATAAAACATAATTATGCTACGAATTTATATATTTACTTAAACGAGACTCGCAATTTTGTATGCACGCATTATATTATTATTAGATAATTATAGAATTACCTATCGTTCTTATCCTAATTGTACGACGCCATATAATCCTCTCAGCTTTCATTCATATCATTAACCTTATCGAAAGAGAGACAGCTTCGATGTTGTATTTATAGAATATCAGTAATATCGGAGTCTGTTAAATTTGAAATGCTGCAGAAAAAAGAAAATGATTGTCGATAAGAGAGTTGCGCTGTAAACCAATAGAGTCTCTCGTTACCGTAACAGGTCCAGGTGAGAAAGACCCCAGCAGCCACAGCCAGACAAGTCAGCGAGGACGACGAGATCTCGCGAATCAAGAAACAGAACAAGAACGCGCCTTCGTCCTCGGAAACCGTAGAAGAGAGACCAGCGCCAACTCCGGTGCCAGCTCACGCAACACCCGTCAGAGAACTGCCGGAACGGGAACCAGAGGAACCACCCCGGAGAACATCAGTCGCTAGGTAAGGCGAAGCGTGCAGGCTGCGGATAATTAATATAAGTGTCAGGATCGGAAAGAAAAACAAAGAAATAGCGAAGAAGCATATCAGTGAATGATTAAACCGGTATACCTGGTGCTGCCGTAGCAGAAGAACCTCAACGGAAGCTCATGCTCCAGCAACCAGAAGTGCATCTTCGGAATCCAGCACGGGTTCCGAAAGTTCTACGGGATCAGGAATCCGTAGCACCGGTGCGCCATTTACTGCCGAAGAAATGAAGCAGAAATATTTGTCCAGGGCCCCACCTACGAACACGACGACAACCCTGTCATCCGCACCAGGTGTCACTTCCGGCGCAAGGGACTCCTCATCCAGCGCTACCAGCCCCCGACCTTTCCAGAGCCGTTTTTTAGGCGGAGGTAGCTGAACTCTTGCTTCTCTGTCGTAAGACATCGTATGACTTGATGATCAAGTGAATTCTTGCCGATCGAATTAGGTAACCGAGCTGCCCCGCCGCCACCACCACCCGTGGCAGCAAGGGAGGAGCCGGCCAAGAAGAAGGAAGAAGAGGAGGATGACGACGAAGAGACCAGTAGCTCCTCCGAGGAAACCGAATCGGAAACGGAAGAGGAATCAGAGACCGACGCCCATCCTGCTGCTACACCTTCGACGCCGACGTCGGCGACGCAGGACCGGCAGAAGACCGAATCCGCGATGGCGCGTACGGACATCGGTCCTCTTCTGGCTCGTAGTGCAGAAGCCAGACGTGGAAGCAAAGAGGATTCACCTTCCACGAGGCAAGTTCGAATATTCGTTAGATTCACTGGGAACATGATTTTCTAATATCTTTCTATCGTCATAGAATGGTCAAACGATCGATACTAATTCTGGTTGAGATAGAAATATTTAATAATTTTTGTCAAAAATATTTTTCCTACAATTAGAAAAAATATAAGATGCCGAAAATGAATTGTAACGTAACTGTAAAAATTGGCAGGTATTCGACGCCGAGAGGAAGTCCCGCTCAATCTGTAACTTCCCCGACAACTATGACGTCATCCTCGACGGCGCCCAGCGGTTATACCAGCAGGTTCGTAGCAAACGATCACGAGACTCACGACTTCACTTCTAATTCCAATAACCCCTTGGATAATGATCGTTCTAGGATCGGTAACGACGAAACCGATGAAACTTCGAAAAGCGTTAGTGTCGAGGATAACGATATCGCGGCTAACGATAACGATAACGAGATCGATGAGAGTTTAAGAATTTCGGAAGGTAATAGGTACCGATCGGACGATGATAATTCGAGCAGTTCGGAAAGCGAAGAGAATTCAGTTGTTAGCGGCGAGACTCTCGAGAGTAGCGATAACGATCTAGCGGCCATAGCGAGTGATATCGAGAGCAGCGATAACCGCACTAAGCTCCATACGGATGAGGAGGATCAGATTCATCAGGATAATCATCAGGACGATAACGTAATGTCTCTTAGCGAAAATAGTAAGGAACCTACTACGAATTATACCACGGAAAGGAATGACGATCTCGCTGAGACGAGTGATAACTTCCGGAATAATGATAACGATACTGTTTTAATAAGTAACGACAAGAATCGTGAAGAGCATCAAAGTATCACGGAGAATCGTGAGACTGAGGACTCGTCGAGCGACGAGGAGTCCGAGGACGACGATAGCTCCGTTCCTACCGTAATGGAAAATATTGAGTCAAAAATGAATCGTAGTAGCGTCGAGGAAGTCGGTGACGTAGATCCGGATGGTCTTCCTGATGGTTTCGGTGATAACGTAAAGACTGTGGAAAATTTATTCGACGATAACGGATGGGTTGTATCCGAGGAAGATTCCGATAAAATTCCTCCTGGTCGGAGAAGCTCTTCGAGGATGGACAGTTGGCCGGTGGAGGAGAATGATCAGTCGAGGAAGGATCAGTCCCGGAAATCGACGAATGATGATGACTCGGAGACGGATGAATCCTTGGAAAAGGATTCGGAGGATAACGATGCGTCCAGCCAAAGTATAAAGACCAATTCGAAGGACGATCCCGTGAATAATTCCGAAAGCTCCGAATTTTCCACAAGGCGTAATTCGTACGCAGAAGGTAGTATCGGTAATAACGGTTGGGTAGTGTCTGACGTGTCCGATAACTCTGATAACGAATCCGAGAAAGGAACGAACGGTACGAAGATGGGTACTACGGATGAGAATGATAACCTGGAGACAAACGAGAGTAAATCTATGAACGAACGGCAGAAGGTCGAGGGGTACCGTGTGGGATCGAATTTGAGTCTTGATGAAGAACCGGAAGTGCCGGACACGAGGAGTTTGGACGAAAGAGAAATGAACGAAACGGAAAGTGATCTGGACGATGATAACAGGGCTAATGACGAAGACGTGAAAGAGAACGCGGAGGATGGTAGGCGAGAATCGGCAAAGCTGAATAAACTAGAGAATGGTAACGCGATAGCTGATAACAGAAATAACGAGAGGAAGGTCAACGATAACGGCGAAACGGCTGAACTCGATAGCAATGTACCAATGCAAATGGTAACCACCGTCTTCTGTGTGTCCGTACTGTGTTACAGCGTTCTCATTAATCTCTTCATGTGATTTTAAAAAGATTTCTTTTTTTTTTTTGTCGCGTCGATTAATCAACATCCCTTCCCTTTGACCGCCCATCGTCAGCTATAAATATATAACCAATGATAAACGACAATCGACAAGAGCGACCCTGGCGGATGGGAGCTTAAACTTCCATTTTTTTCTTTTCTTATTCTTCTTCGTCGTCACTTTTTTTTATTCCTTTGAGCACACTCAATTTTCTTTAATCCTCTCGTGCCAATGAGACTAGTTGATCTCGCGTGATAAAAGTTTAAAGGTCAAGAGGAACCTCGTGCCCTGTTGGTAGGCGTTGTCTGCATTTTATTCTTTTTATTTTTTTAAGTATTCTGACATTGTGATAAATCTACGTGTACAATCGTCATTGTGCGATACGTTCCTATCGGCTTAAATCCTTAAAGTAATTTTATAGAATATTTCGTAACGTCTATACGACATACTGTATACTATATATATATATATATATAAGCCTCGCTCAAAAGCATTGCTGGCTTTTCTTAGAGTCTCTCGCGAGTTGGACAGGAAAGATAGAGAGCAAAAAAGAAAGATAAAGGATAATTCATTGAAAGAAACGAATAAGAATAACGCGAACGCGGAGATTCAATCTTTGTTGTCCCTTGCTTTCGCATATCGTTTCTTCGCTACTTCAATTTCTCTTGCTTTTGCACGTCGCAGTAAGTCGAGCGCCCAGAGAGTCGTAGAGATCGTTGATCGCCGCGCATTTATCATTTAAGTTTTTGTACTTTTCCTAGATCCTAGATCCTAGATAAAGAGAAATAATAGGCTTGGCGACAGTTTGTTGGGTGTGGTGAATAAACTGCATTGTTGTGATAACTCGTATTACATTTATTACATCCCTTTCACTGTCCTAGAGTAACACAAGGCAGTATATACATATATATGACGTGTCACACTTATCTTGTGACGTCATAACGTAACTCTGCCACCATCAATCTGTCCGAATGTCACTAAGGAAAAACCCCCCAAGAAATGTGTGTATTTGCGGTTTTTGAAAAAAAAAAAAAAGAGAGAGGGTGGTCTGGAATATTTTGAAATTCCTAAATAAAGAAAAAAAAAAAAAAGTTATTAAGACGATTGGAGCGCCGCTGTCGATTGATCTCTATGACTCTCTGTCAATTTGTACCTATCAACGTTTCTCGCAGTGCTCACCAGCCCTCGCATTTCCTCATGTAAATATCAATAATATCGATACATGCCGGATCTTACGGCACCAGGAGGCTCTCGAGCTGTATCCGCACTAACAAGCCAACTGACTGCGAGAGAGACACGTGTTACAATGCTGAAGCGTAAAATCGTGTTAAATGAGAAATCACACTGTTTGTTGCCGTAACAGCCAGTTGTGTTAATATTTGCGCCTATGATGAAAAAAAAAAAAGAAATACGCATCGCATGAATTGACGCGCTTGACGAGATAATAAAAATGTAGACGATGAAGAATAAGAAGACGATGAACTTGACGAGTGATTTACCGGTTGACATTGACGCTCGCTGTCGTTCGAGGTTATCGTTTCTCAAGTCGTCGTTATCCTTCCTGGGAGTCGATCTCGTAATACCGATATCCTGGTCTCTGGTTCGATTATGGTAGAATAATAATAATGGGATTTATTAATTAAAAAAATTTGGTTTGCTTTCAAAATTAATTTATAAGAGTGAGAACCGGCGGCTGTGATTTATTTGGATATGCTTATTAGCGCTCAAGGATCGATCGATCCGATCGATCGTTCGAGAGGACGGTCGGAAAGTGGGTGGTGGGAAATAATGAAAATTACGTAAATACCTAAATCCTATTTTAGATTCCTGAACAAGAGCAGAAGCCAAGCGGCAGTGACGACGCCGCGGGAACGAGAACGTGAACGAGAAAGAGAGCTGGAACCGGAAGTGGAGCCGCTCTCGCCAAGATCTAGATACGCGGCCTTGAAGGAACGTCGACAGAGACTCGCGCGCTCCAGGAGTTCCCATAATTTTGGTGGTGACGACCTCGACCTTGACGAAGACCCACCGTCCCCCACGACCCAGTCGCCCAACGCTTATCTGGCTGCTAAGTACGGTGCTGGCTCTGAGCTTGCACGCAGTCGCAGTACCCACGCGCTTAAATCTCGAGAACCAAGTCCCGATAGGGACAGGGCTACTGAAAAGGATGGAGCAGCCCTGAGTTCCTGGGCACGCTACCTCAAGAACAAGTACGGCAATCGTAGCGCCAAGGACAAGGAGCCACCCTCGTCTTCCTCAATTCCATCCTCCAGGTGACCTACGATTGTACAATTATATTATACAATTCTTAACTCGTATCTATTATGAAACATCTTTTGGATGGGTTCAAAGGTAACTTTGAACTGGATATAAATACTTCATGACTCCGGTACCCCGGATGCTTCAAGCATTTTCAATGTAAAGATAGGAGATGCCAGATGGTATTTTTTTTTTTTTTTTTTTTTTTAATTTT